ACCAAACGTCATGCGACACTGTTGCAGGTGAAGGTAAGTAATATTCAGGTCTTCCGGTCTTCATAAGAGACTGAAATCCCTTGTCCTTGACGATTTCGAATGGTCGTAGACTTTCGGCAACCCAACGAACGATTTCAGCCCTTATTGTGGCTATTTCAGCTCTCAATACAATTAGGAAGGATGGTGGCGTACTTTGTCTCAGTCCGTGTATGTTGGCGATGCGAGTACGTCACTTTCCCCTTGCCTTTTCGCTCGAATGACGTTGTGATTGACCCATTCCATAGGATGCTACCAACTATTTTAGTCCGAACTTCCTGGGCATCTTTGGCTTGGTCTGCAGATTGCAGAACCTCATCACCCCAGCACGATTTGACGTGCTTTCACATGTTACCAGTAGACCTCGCATCCTTTTTGTCAAGGAATTGTCAAATTGTAGTTTTGCATCCTCGAGCACAGCACTTGAACTGATGTGCACGACGTCCATCGTGCTCAATGATACGGGGTTTGGGCTCGAAGAATGCGTATACAGGTGAGATCCACTCCTTCATTAGTTGAGCTATCATCTGATTAACAAATTGTTTCAATTGAAGATCGTATTGCATACTGAGCTCATCTTCAGCAGTTTCAATGTCCGGACTTGGATTGCAAGTCTCATTGGCATCATCGTCACTCTCGTCATCATCAACCATGATCACATCGTTATGCAGATCAGCCTCTTCCTCTTCGGTACGAACCACTGCTCGATGTCCCTGTACTGGTGTAGCTGCGGGACTTGGAGTAGCTGTGACGTCGTCTGATTGGACGTCATCCTTGGTGCAACGATGGTTCGGGATACTTTTAGCCTTCTTGGACTGGCTCGGTGCCGCATTTTCCCCATTCGTGTTATTCTTCCTTTTCTTAGTCGAGGGGCCATCAAGCTTCTCTTCCAGGGCTGCCTTTGCCTTGTCCGTGAGTTTGGTGACTCGTTTTACCGTTTTTGCGAATATGTTTGGCTGCATGATGTCTATGACTCGGGTCTAGAGGATAGTGATACTGATATGCTCGCTATTAATTTTTTTAACAACTGTACAGTACAAGTAGCCGAGTTCCCGTTTAGGTAGTGAAATATAGTGATTTTGACATGTCAACCCAAGCCAAGGGTATGGGTGAGGGTGCGGGTGCCTGAAACATGGACCCCCACCCACACCCTTGGGGCACCCACACCCACCACCCGCGCGGGTTTCTGAAACCCATGCAGTTGCCTATAGGTATCTATGGACTTCAGTAATTATTGTATCCCATTTCATCTACAATTGTAAGAAGTGATACATCAAACCTACAGGTACAGGTGAACGCACATCGGACGAAAAGAACAAGGTTTGCACCGATCATGCCAAATGGAATAAGAATCATAGTGAGTGGGCATTGTTGGGCGGTGTAGAAAAAATCGATGCAATAATCGATAACGGTTTACTGCAGCCTGTGACTACTTATGTTCCACTGGTGTTAAGGATCGATCAATGTCCCTACAATGTCTGAATAATCTTAGTGTTGTAGGTATAAAGTCACAAGTGCAACCCATAAACCGCAATTCCAGTGGCTCTCAAAGACCCTGTCATGTCATTTTGTCGACCTCGAGATCGCGCTTTAGAACCATCTTCACTTCACCAACCTACCTACTCTCAGGAATTTGTGGGTTCAAATGCTACAGCTACACTGCGTCAACCAACCCAGAGTGCCTGGACGTCCGCTTCTACATCGTCGCCGGTAAGTGAATATAAAGTCGTCTTTACTACTGCTCACCACTACAATATCAGCAATTGGTGGCAGGAGCAGGGGCCACACAAGAGACTCCACCGAGCTCCCATTCAATGATCGCCCGGAATGAGCGTGATTTTTCCCTCGCCTTATCTATCCAGGCTGCTCTAACAGATACGAGAGAATGCCCCTGGTATGGGAACAGCATGCACATGTGTTCCACAATACTCCCTCGTTGCATCCTATGATTCCGGCCGCTTGCCGCCAAATAGTGACTCCAGTTGGTCCGTGTTAAGACCGTGCACAAAGGGTAGGACTGATTCCGAGGGGCTTGGCTTCAGCTCGTGCGCTGCGCCCCTTACCTGAGTATGTGCCCTTAATTTCAGAATGATGTCCGAAGGACGTCCGAAGCGCGGGAAAGTTTGGAAGGACTTTCCGGACGAGTGTAAGTAACTTCCGGACGAGTGCGGGAAAGTTCCGGAGGAACTTCCGGAAATTACGATGAGGTTTCGTCCTGATACGGATACATGTAATGGCTACTTAGGACAAGTCCTAAGTAGAAGCAAACAGAGGAAAGGCTGCAAGGACAAAGTCCGAAGCAGAATAGGTCCGGAGGACCGCGGGAAAGTTTCGGACGAACGTCCGGAAACTTCGGAGGATCAGATAAGCGGATGAGCGGATAAGCGGATGAGCGGGGATCGGATAAGCGGAGCTCTGGCCTAGGGAATTTCTCCCTAGGCCCGAGATGGATATTGACTAAGTCGATAGACTAGAACTGATGTGAGGACTTAGAGTGAGATCTAGTGCGAGGACTAATATGATATTCAGACTGAGGAACTACAGGACATATACAAGAGTTTATATACTAAGGAAATAACAGAAAGATCAGTAAGCAAGTGTCCAAGGCTATGTATGAAGCATAAGCAAAGTTATCAAGCGCGAGTCGGAAATGAAGCATAGGTTAACGGATCAGTAAGCGTACCGGTAGTAAGTATAACCGAGATACCGAGGACAAGGAATACCAAATAGAGGAATAGGCTGTGTCAACATTATATGCACAGGAATTGAATTAGGAAGCTTATCGTATATCGGATCGGATCGGACCAGACCAGACCAGATGTCCGGACAAGAAGCGTGGATATACAGGATATGATATTAGGGCAATAGGACAAAGGATGAATGATGCAGGCTAGCTGCGGAGGTATGGAGGTGTGATGTACGGAGGTAAAGGGATCTGGACATGGATGCGCGGATGTGGATGTGCAGAGGTGCAGGGATCCGGATGGGTAGAGGACTGGAGACATGGATAGGGCGTCCGAAGGTCCGGATGAGGCGTGGGAATATTGTCGGATGTAGGTCCGGAATACGGGATATGACAGTCCGAGTCTGACATATCCATGGGCAGCCCTTCTCCAGATTGGCATTTGATGACTCCAGGGAGCCCCCTTCCGGGATCCCCTGTGGCCCACAACCCTACCCCAGATTTCAGTCCTCAATCACAGGCAATTTTCGGAGGACCACTACCTCACTTGACACCTAGCCCTTTCCACCCAGGCTTTCGTCGTCATGTACCATCCCCTGACAGTCCCACTATGGAGCACGTCACTCGTATGCAGGCTCGTCGTGGTGGGAATGTTTCCAACATTCCTGTCAACGCCCGTCTGCTGCCTCGATCTTCGTCGTTGCCATATCCATATCCATCAGACGGTATTCCCCCAGTAACTCCACCCAGACAGACTACCACCTTATCAAATGCATCTTTCAGAATTCCGGACTTTGTGCAAATACTCGAACATGCACAACAGCCCTTCCTGGTCGTTACTGGTCATATATAGTGATGTTCCGGCCCGGCTTGGCCCAAAAGCCGCGGCTTTGGCCTGGCTTCAGACGGCTTTGGCCTGCAAAAAATCCAGGCCGGGCCAAAGCCACCAATGACGGCTGGCTTTGGCCCGGCTCTGGCCTGAGCCGCGGCTCGAGTAGGGAATTCATGGTCCTGACAAAGTGAGTATGAGCAGGTTGCTGTTCAACCGGGATTCGACCATATGACATACCTGCACATCTTAGAATGTAGTTTTGTCCTGCATGCGGCAGCCTGAGCGGCACGTCATGACAGCGAGTCATGTTTCTGCTTCCAGCCCCCCATCCAGAGTCGAGTCTACATGCACGAATATACATCGCCCGTACTGACGAAAACACCACTTGTAGCGAGGAGGACAGTTGCCTTTTTGAAGTATATCAGTGTCATCTTGAGCTCGCGCAAAATGAACACAGATGTGCAAAAACCGAGTGTCAATGTCAGAGTCCATCGAGTCAATGAAGGCCGATGAAGCCGATGTCGAGGTACACGATGACGAGTAACCGATGCGAGCGCAAGGTTGAGGGGCAGGAACGAAGGAGAGTTGACATCGGCCCTGAACCTGCGACGTATAACAAGTTTCATATCAATATATCGTTTAGAGAATTACTCACCATATAAAAGGCCATAGCAAAGCCAAACGAGCGCCTCAGTTCTGTTCCCAGATACTGAGATGTGAGTTAAAATACTTTACCTTTCGACATACAAAAGCTAACGTCTCGTAGTTCATACCTGTTAGGTACACGCTTCGTCAATGCAGAGTTCTGTTCCCAGATACTGAGACTTCATACCTGTTAGATTCTATCCGCTCCCGTAAACTCCTCTCAAGACCGAGCCTATCAGGAAGAACTAGCAGGGCACATCAAAGACTTAGTAACTCAAGTGAAACATGAACAGGAAGCTTGGGAGAGTCTTGAGCGCGAGTTTGACAATGTCGAGAAGATGCATGAGTCTGAGCTCCGATGCGAACACCGTGCACTCGAAGACAAAGAATCCGCACTTTCGGGATATGGAACAACGGTCCAATCAACTAGAGTAATAATTACGATTCGGCGTGACAGGGAATGAAAATGAGGAATGTTTAGATTCGTGGGGTAATGTGAGTTTCAGGTCCGTAAGGTCTAGTGTCCGCGCTGCCGCTGTCCGTGGAGAACATTATAATGTCCAGGCTAGATCACAACGTCCGAAAAGTACTAGGTATCTGTGAGGGGTCATAATGAACATGAGCATAACTCAAAAAGATACTCACGCCGATGATGGGATCGAGGTACTCGTAATCTGTATCAGCAATACGAAAACCTTTTCTATATATGATCATAATATCAGCATATATGACAATATCTATGGCTCACCAGTCATCTGATGCGTATGATCAGCTAGTTGGTATAGTTAAGAGACATGAAGCACAATGGAAGTGATTGAAAAGCTAAAACAAGACGAGATAGAAGCCAGATTCTTGGGGCGCTGCAAGCCTCAGGCACAGTTCCAAAAGCCGCGGCCCAAGCCAGCGGCTTCGGCTTTTCATAATGTCAGGCCAGGCCAAAGCCGCCACCAGGCTGTGACTTTGGCCCAGCTTGGCTTGGCCTATTCAGGCCCAGCTTGGCCTGGCCCACGGCCTGAAGCCGGGCCGTGCACATCACTAGTCATATAATCCGCCGGGTTATTATGATAGTTGAAATCAAACCGGAGCCACATGCTGGTAGGGAATTCGAATGGGAACTTATCTGGAAGGATCAAGTACATGAGCAGGTTCTTCATGCATTTGAGGCTGATCGTACCCTGAAATACTTGGGAGTCATCATAGCTGCTGGTTGTCACTGGGTCTACGGCACCGTGAACCGGGGAAATCTACTTCCTCAGACAATGTCAGAGCAGCGCGATCCAAATTTCCGCGGCACTAGATCGCCAGCATCATCGTCTGATGACTCCACGGTAGAGGAGAGGGAAACCCAGAGTTCTTTTCCCTCGTTGGACATCCCCAACTTTCTCCCCAAAACAGAGAATGGCGCCTTCTATAAATTTGATCTCCTGGACATCCTGGACGCCAGGGGAGTGTCCCTCAGAGTCTTTGAAGGAATTTTAGATGACCTCCGCCGTAAAAATAGTGATATTTGGTTCTAGGGCATCTTAATGGTGTGGGCAGGAGGGACGGTTTGGTATTATCGCGAGGCAGAATAGAGATGTAATGATGTGGTATACAACAACATTGGGTAGAATATTACATATGCAAATCTTATGGTTATGTAGCCGCCACATGCAGTAGGATTCGATGAAGAAGCCATGAATGGTTGTTATATCTCAACCGTTTAGAAAGTATGCCATTCGAAATGTATATACCTGAATCGTGCAGAGGTTGGAAGATGATGGATGGATGGTAGGAGGTTATCGTCGGCTGCTTTTCTGGGCACCGCCCTCCTCCCGAGAACAACCATTTTGTCATCTTGGGACTGTATTAACAATACCCAGTGGGCAGGATATTGATTTGAGTCACATGGCTCATGGAGAAAACTGGTCGAATTGCCAACATGTGTGAGTTCTTAGCCTTCACTGTCCGTCGTAGTGACTGAACCAATATCTCTAGTGCTAGTCCCGTTGTGATAATACCCAGTGTACAGTTTTGTTTTATGTTGATGCTATATCTGCCATCGGGCTTGAATTTGAAGGTGTTCGCTATCGTCGTGGCTGCAGAGTGTACGTTTCAGCAATAGCATAGCACAAGTATCGTAGAGTAATGATGGCGCGACAAGGTTTACTGCTCTAGTGCTCATTGTTCCCCAGGATGCCATAAAATTCGTCATCCACAAATGTTTCTCATCGAACACAAGTAACAGCTGATACAACATCGACTACTTGCATTTTTGTCTTGATACCAATTATTTCGAAACAAGTTTGACGGGTATTGGAAGTCCTCCAGGCCCATGAAACTCTCCTTGATGCTTCTCACCGAAACGAACTGATAGAAGATCCTAATACTCCCAGCTTTGTCGTTGGTTCCACTCATTTCGTCCTCCTCCAAAGGGTTGTTGACCCACAACCGCGCCAGTGCATTTCTCGTTGTGATATACGTTACCAGCAGCGTTGCATAGCTTGTTTGCGCAAATAGAAGGGCTTTGCGGTTTGCGGTGAAGCTGGAGAAGACGTTGTCAGTCAATGCATATTGTAGAGACCTTGCAACTCACATAGAGCCAGTCAGTGCATAAGGCGAGGTGTTATCGATGAGTTCCAGAGACTTATAATTCGCATTGTCGTATACATAAATTTGAAAAGTTGTTGGTACAATCTGGCCGCATTTCCGAACAAAAAGCCATTACAGTGATGACAGGACAAAAGATGTCTTCTTTCATGGTGATTGACTCAGGATCTTCGGTTGGAATGATGGTAGGTTGGATGAAGTAACCCTTGGAGTCATCACCTGTAGGATCATGGGAAAAGTCGCAGGTGAGTCATACTACTATCCGCCTTACCAATGCCTCTGATAAGAACCTCTCTATGCGTTGCTGATTGTTCTCGTGACTATTCAAAAGCCAAAATTGATATGATTGACGTTCAATAATATCTACTGTGTGACAAATAGAGAATACGAGGTATGATGACGCTATTTGGGCTAAAAGCCCGCAGGGCTTTTTGACCCGAAACATCGTTTCGGACGGAGTCCAGGGCAAGCCGTGATTCCCAAAAACAACAGGAGCCCTGCGACGCGTCAGGCTAAGCATGGACTCCCAACAAATAGGAGGAGGGCGATGTGCACGTACCTTTGTTCAACGTGGAGGAGGCATGGTGTACCGTGTGAACGGTTCGAGGATAGGTGACTCCTGCAGATAGGGCGCCATTATCATAGCGTGTTGGTGTAGATAGATGGTGAAGGCGTCGCTTGACCACCTTCCCATCGATTTGACCACGTCGAAAGGAACACCCCGCAACAAGTACTCTAGCGTCCCGCCAATCCTTAGCCCATGCCCTTTCAAATTGTCAGCTCCGATCCTCTTAGCCACTTCCCCGATTCTCTTCAAGAAAACTGTGCGAGACAGCGGCCTTAAGCCATACTTTGGGTGTACCCAGGCGAAGAGATGATCGGTTGAAGAAGGGTTGTTGACTGTGAAGTGATTCAAAAGAGCGGCTTTGGGATCAATTTGGTCTTCTTGTTGGGCCCAATATACGTCCTCACCGGTGATAGGTGCTGTCTTGGTGCGTGGTAAGTGGATTTTGGTGACGCGCAATCCATTGCGATCCTCCGCGTCCATTTGGACATTCGAACGTGTGACGTGTGCCGTGGTTTGAAACGTGTTCATGGCGGTTACGGTCAGTTCTCCGATCCGGCAGAGCGAGTAGAAGGCGCACGTCAAGCACGCAAACACAGCCGCATCTAGAGGTGAAGAGAGTCTTAGAAGGGGGCGAATCTCTAGAATGAGCTTCGTGGTGAATGGTTCGCGTTTGAGTTTCTTGGATGTTGGCGGGGCAAAATTGATGGCGCCGTCTAAGGCTCCCTTCAATTGGTCAGGTTGCACCTGCCATGGTTGGCCATGCAACGTGTGCCATGCACGCACGGCATAGACATAGTTTGCTAGGGTTTTTCCGGAGTAAGAGCCAGCACATCCTGAGATAAAGTTGAGTATGGTAAGTGTATCCGCTGGACAGCGTTGTTCTTTGGGAATGGCGTGACCGTCGCAAAAAACGTGAAAAACTAGTAATCCTGCTCCATAACACTCTCTCATTCCTTGAGCCCATGATTGGTTGATGACCATAAGGACTCTCTCTAGATCCTCTTCAGTCACGCTCAAGATTCTCCCGTTGGCGTCTCGACTCGATCTCGTCTGGACTGGTACCCAGCATTTGAGTCTGTCCCTTGCTGAACAGTGTGGACGAAGAGGTAAGGTCTTAGGAACTAAACCCACCTTATAAGGCTGCGGTTTAGTTGTCGGTTCAACAGGAAGAGGAGCATTAAAGCGTGAGTTAGTCGTGCCATTGGCGTTCATGGATGTGATAGAGGGAATCAGGGATGGTGCCAATGTGTTCGAGCTCCCGACTAAGATCGACACTGGTATCGTCGCGAGAAGACTCAGCGATGATGAGGGATTCGTTCCTGCAGCTGGAGTGGTTACCTGCACTGTCGCGATTGGAGAATGGGTCGAAGATAAACCGTTGCAGTTCGTCGTGAATGGGAACTTTGGGGAGCATGAGTTCTGGGCTAGCATAAATGCCTCTGGATGGATCATCGGCTGGGTTATGTTCGCTTGGAACGAAGACCGGGTGGAAAGAGTATGGAGCTGGGAGGTCATGGATGAAGGCGAAGATGCGCCAGAAAACTGTGTTGACAGCTGAGTTCCTGCTGCGACCGTTGCGCCATCCCTCAATGACGCCCTGATTGTCTCCGAAGAGACGAAAGTGTCTTTCCGTGCCTCCCAATTGGACAAGGTGTCGAATGAGAAGTTCAAACCCGACTGCCTCGGCCCATTCGATGTCTTTCGCCCCGTTGAGCGTCCTCCATCCTTCGCGAAGACGCCATGCTCGCCATCGTCGACCAATGACGACAGCAATTCCAATGCCTGAGCTGGCATCAGAAAAAGCTGCGGGATTATGCAGAGAGGTGATGGGCTTGGGTATGGTGCGACCGACGAATTGACTTCGGAGAAGAGCGATCCACCACTTGAGGTCGTCTGGTAGGCTTTTGACTTGGTGACGTGGGAGGAAAGGACGATTGGATCCGATGCGCAGCATCGCTTCGAGTGCGGTGAGGTACGCGCGCCCCCGCGTAATGACGAGTGAGGTGTGCAGCAATTTTCCGTATAGGCGCTGCACGTCACGAAGAACGTGAGTTTCACGCCCTTGCCATTCAGCGATGGCAAGTAGATACTTCTCCTTCTTGGCTTCGGGCAGATACACTTGATTCTGGGCGATGTCCCACATGAAGCCGATGTAGGGGTTCGCGTAAGCAAAATTAGCGTCCTTGGAGGTCTCCCAAGGGATGCCCAGCTCGTCAGAAGTGCCATCAATATCGGCAAAATTAAATGAAAACCGAAGGTCTTCGGGTGACCTAGGGGATGATGCTGAGAGGTCCCTGATGGGAAACCGGCAGTCTTCATCAAACTCCTCGAGGGTCCCGTCCTCGAAGACGTGTCCCCCGAACCATATTCTCCCTCCATCTTGGTGTTGCCCCCGTTCGATAATGTCCTTATGCCACTCTTGGCGCTGTAAGTTGTATGCTGCAAGATGCTCTGTGAGTATGCGAATAAACAAGTGGTCGTCGACCCATCTGGACGTGGGACCAATCCCTTGATGCCGAAAGATGTCGAGACCGGCGTCGGCAACAACTCCATATGCGCCTGCTGATGGGTGCAAACCAAAACAGGTACAGGTGTCAATACAAAAGTGCTCATCAGATATGCGCACCACTGAACCTGGCCACTGAGAGGGGTGTAAGGGAATGGTGCGATACGCCTCTGCGACGTCTCTTGTGGCCAGTTGGGAACCTGGTGGTAGACGGCTGATAGTGAGGGAGAGAACGTGAAATGTACCCCAGGTACTGGGAAAATTATCTGGATCGATATATGAATTAATAGAAGGGTTAGGAAACTTCTGCGATGTATCGTGCGGGAAAGAATAGTTCTGAATGATGTGAAAACACCCGGGGCGTCCAGGTTTTGGTATAATTGAGAAAGGCGATGACCGAAAGGGGCCAATAAGATCTTTGACTTCATTGGCCGAGAGTGGCCCAATGTATCTACCCTTGCTGATCTCAGATTGGATGATTGATAAGAATTCTCGTTCGTATGTAATAATGGAGTCTTTGTTGTATGGGATTTGCGTGAGTTTAATGTTCGGAATGTCGAGGCGAAAGCCTCGACGAAGTCCATTAGGTACATGTGGGTATCTGTTAATGAGTCCGGATGTCGCAAGTTTAGCGTTCCAAGCATCGACTTTGTAAGGGGAAATGGCATTATGCCTTCTGTGCTCGAGGGCAGCTTTGAGCTCCATGAGTGGACGCTGCGCAACCTGAACAGAAGTGTCGCCGATCGTGGGAAGTGTCGCTGCAGCCTGAGACACGCTGCCAGTCGCTGCATATGGGCCGCGCGTCTTGCATGGTGAGAATCTTTCCAAGGCATGTGCATAGGGTATCGAAAGCACTGTCCCATGTCTTTGTGGCCTTGCATTCGATGATTCAATGCGGGTTTCGCCCAAGACAGACGGCGCAAGCAGAAAGGGCATTTCCACTTGCGCCCGCTCGAAAATCCTGCCAGTTCCTCTTTTGTCTTCCTCCCTGCTCAAGCGACGGTGAACGCTTCCGCGATTCCCTGGAGTCTCGCTGATAATTTCGTTGATGATTCGACGAGGAGCCAGTTGAGACCGTGAGGTGTTGATCAGCCTGTCATTCGAGACGAAGCGGAAGCATGCGATGGTTACGCGCAAGAGTGAAGCAATTTGCCACCATGCATCGAGTGATGCGACAACGAGAGACATTGATTACAGGGTGAGGCATGAAGCATGTGGCATGAAGCAAAGCGGTGTAGTGATGTAGCAAATTTTTAAGAAGAAAATTGGGTGCGAGAGAAGCATTTAGTAATGGTTCGAAATTTCGCAATGGAAAGTTTGCTAACCTTATAATCTCGTTGGTTGTCTTTTTTGGTACGCTCTAGCCAGTATACTCTCTCCCTCGTTGCGTCTAACACCTTCTGATTGATGGTGGACAGATTGTACGGACCCGCTGCTGATTTCGCGACAACGTGCCAACGTTTGCGTTGCTCGGCTTGATAAACTAGTAAAGCCTTCTGGGCAAGCGGGTCCCGCATGGAACGATAAGGGTGGATCTGTATATTCTTCCAGAAAAAGGCCATCATGCAAACTCGGTCTTGTGGCCAGTCGGCCTCTTCGATGGCCGCTATGAACCTTGGGCAGGCTATGCAAAATTCCTCGAAGGAGAGGTTCTCATCGTCTACGACGGACGAGGCGTTGCGTGCCGCTGCTGCCAACACCCAGGCTGTGGATCCATCTGGGAGGGTGGACATGACCATGGCATCATCGTCGATGGTCTTTTTGGAGTGTGCCTCGTCTAGACCGTCGTTAGTGAAATACCACAGTTCGAGGTACTCGCCTTTGTCGAGCTTGCGAATCGCGTAGGAGGAGGGAATTATGGAGGGTTCGTCTGGAACGCCAGTGTCTTCCGGGATTGGCATGAACTTATGTTTGTGCTTCTTTTTCTCTTCTTTCCGTGCTGACTCTTCCTCGTCGATGCGCTCCTGCTCTATTCTGTCTTGCTCCTCCTCTTGTATCCGACGTAAGTTCTCGCGTTGCTCTCTTTCGACCTCTACCTGACCTTCCCAAAGGTCAATGTCTGCGTCGTTGGCTGCGC